GCCGGACCCTGCGCCGCCGCCGAGACCTCCGAGGTCCGGGAGAAGCCCCGGGGCGGGCTGCACGGCGCGGCCGCCGCAGGCGACCTGGCCCGGCTGCGGCGGCACTGGTGGAGGAAGAGATTCCGCATCAACGGGCGGGACGCGGAGAAGCGGTAAGGGGCGGGCGGCGCCCGGAGCGAAAGCCTCCGGCCGGCCACCCCGGCGGAGCCCAGCCCGGCGGCGAGCGCCCTTAGGAGCCACGGCCTTCCGGGGGCCTGCCCCGGCTGGGGCGGGAGGCGGCGACCCCCTGCCCGTCCCCCCTGCCCTCCGCCGCCAGCCCGGCCCCTGCAGCGAGTCTTCCGCGGAGCTCGGCAGCCCTTCGTCCGAGCGGAGACGGCTGCTTTGCCCTTGCCCGACGGAGCGGCTTGCTTGAGCGGGGGCACGGGCTCGCAGAAAGACAGGGCACGGCCTGCCCCGGGGCCGCCGTTGGAAGCCCCGTCCCCTCTGTCTCTGGGACACGCCGGGCGTGGGACTGGTCGGGGGAGAGGGGGGTTCCCCGGGCTGCCGCAGCCTCCGGGCTGCCGAGACACGGTCTCCTTCGCTGGGCTGGGTGGCTGGGCGGTCCTGCTGGAGGCAGGGACCGGTGCCTGGGCACAAGAGTCTGTCCGTGCAGGTTCCTTGCCACGGCCGAGGAAAGGCCTCCCGACTCCAGGGATGTGCTGGGGATTTTTCCTGGCCAGCCCCAGGCTTTGGGTGCGCCACTGCTGCCGCCAGCTCTGGACCGCAGAAGCTTGCTTTCAGCTTGGTTTTTGCCAGTTGAGGCGTGTGGCCCTGCGCGGCGGGCACCGCAGCCCGAAACGGTGTCTTCAGCTGCCCGTGTGGACTGAATATGTTTCGTTTCTAGGACGCCTCTGCATCTGGCTTGTGCGAAGGGCCAGTCGGATGTCGTCCGATTCCTGGCAAGAAAGAAATGCCACCTAAACCCTCGTGACAGCTTTAAGAAATCACCGCTGATGAAGGTATGTGGAGTACGTTATGCTGTTGTGCATTGGGATGACCGGTTACGCGCTGAACGACGCGTACCTTGCATGACTCTTTACGTAGGCCTGCATAGAAGCAGGTGTGTTGTAGCCAGCGGGGAAGGGGCATATGTTGCCTCATCTTTGAAGACACCTATGCTTCCCCGTGTTGGGAAGATGCGGGAGTTCTGACAGGGAGAAAGGCAGATGTTGGCAGTTATTCCTCCTTTGTGTCTTATTTCCAGGCGGTCGAGCACCAGCACAAAGACTGTGTGGCCATTCTGCTGGAGCATGGTGCCAACCCTAACCTCAGAGATGTGAACGGCAACACTGCGCTTCACCTGGCTGCCATCATTGCCAGTAAACCCCTAGTCGAGCTGTTACTTGAGCACGATGCCGATATTGAAGCTCCGAATGAGGTTAGCTTGGACTTTGGGTAAGGTTCCTCTTCCCAAAACTTGCTTGACTTTTCTGTGTTATTCTAAGGGAGATGATTTCCCCTTTCAGTTGGGATACACTCCGCTTACTGTTGCCATCGCCAACCGCTCTGGAGAGATGGTGGAGTTCCTTCTTCAAAAAGGAGCTAACGTGCATGCTCAAGATAGGACTAAAAGGTGAAGGGTTTGTCAAAAGCGCGCATGGGACTCCTTTAGCATTCTTCAAGTTGGACTGGGGGGAGGCATAGGAATGAGGTTTGAAAAAGAACCAGGAGCTGCCCAGAAGGAGCTCCTTCTGTGTGACTTGTGAAAGCAGACCCACACTCGGCTGCTTTCTTACCTCAGGGGACAAGTTCTGCCCTGAGGACTGCAAGAAAGTGTTGGCTGTGGTGCCGCACGCACACACACGCACACACGTGCCCTGAGCCTGCTCTGGGCAGGTGGTTGGCCTGGAGACCTCCCGAGGTCCTGCCAACCTGAATTCTCCAACGCTTCCACGTATTTGGCTCTGCTTTCACTCTGCCTATAGGAGAAGGGAAATGAATTCTTTGGGGAGCAAAGAGGGACTAAAGTAACGGCAATGCAATGTCCGCAGAAGCTGATGTATTTCCTATCTTCTCTTGGATGCTTTAGGACCACTCTTATGGTTGCTGCTCTCACTGGGGATATGAATATAGTACAAATTCTTCTGCAGTATGGTGCTGACCTTTCTCAGGAAGACCCGTCTGGCTGCACAGTTCTACATTATGCCAGAGTGTCTCAACATGCTGTGTGAGTGTTTTACATCCTCCTTAGAGCAGCTAACGAGTTCTCAGAATGTGCGTGCTGGTGTACGGCCCTTGTTGGTAACATCTCTGGGGTTTAGTGAGGCATTGAGACCTTTGTTGAAGCCGGGCTCGGTGATGTCTTCTCATGCATCTCTTTCCGTGTCAAGACTGGATTTGGAAGTTGAGGAAAACTTCCCCCCACAGTTCCCTCTGAGAATTCACCTGTGTGCCGCCACAACTGACCAGCAACTACTTGCCTTTCGTTTCAGAGGGGATCTAACTGATATCCCCTGAGGTAAACTCTTCAGCGGTTTTCCTTCTCTCGTGGGTAGCTTTGCACCCCTGGCCGTTCCTTCACTAAGGTGGCTATGTGTGCTTAACAGCTAGGCTGAAGGAAAGAGCCCACTTTCCTAGTGACGGTAGCCTAGTGATGGGTGAATGAACGGCATTATTCCTACGAGCGTGCCTTCCCTAGCCAAAAACAGCTGCCCGTGAGCTCTTGTCACTGGGTCTTGACTTCATTTCTTCTCCCCCTGCCCCTTCTGTCAGCCTGGATCGATGGGAAGCAGGAGAGAAGGGTGCCTGGGTAAGCTGTGGAGTAAAAACCCCTTTAGGAGTAAAGCATGTCTGAGGATTGCTCTAGCAAAACACGATGTTCGTTCCTTCCCTCCAGGCTTCTGGCACAGTATCACTGTTGTGCTAATGCACCACTTTGCATAGCAGCCTTGGTCTGGAGCACGTTTTCAGTATTTTCTTTTCTTGTTTTGGGGGTTTTTTTTTGTTTTAGTTCTGCTTATGAAGCAAACCTGAAAGTGGTCTCTCTCCAGAGCCCCACCTGACCCTCAGCCAGGGTTGTTAGAAGATAACACCTATACAGTGTAGTTAACCCCTGCAGTGCTTGCAATGCAACCACAATCTTTGTTGGCCTCTTGATATCCCAATTAGGAGCTCTCTAAACTCTCCGGTCCTCTGACTAACCATGGGAATTTCTTAAGCCCTTCAAAGTCAGGACTGGGTTTGAGGAGACGTTACCCCAGCTTCACGGGAAGAGTAGCTGCAGCATTACTGTAGCATCCCACTGAGGTAGAAGCCTTGTAGTTAGATGTCAGTCTGCCAAGGGTTGTCTTAATGGCCCTCAAAACGGAGAGGGGGTTTATCGGATAAGACTGTAACCAGTGGGGCTGAGCTACTCCATAGACAAGAATAAGCACCTGCAGCATGAACATGCCTGTAGTGAGTATTTCAGCCTCCAGTAGTAGTGCAGTAAGGTGTCGCTGGGTGTGGGTGTTATCCTTTACCAGCTGGCTATGAATATGGCTCAGATGGCTCATGAATGGCTGTTGCTCTTCCAGTATAGAGTGTATGCAAGCGGGGGGGTATCTCTAACAAATGCATTTCCTTCCTTTCTGTATATAGTATTGAAAAGCAACTGGAGCAATACATGGGCTGTGAAAAGAGGGGAGAATGTTCTGCAGGAGGCACAGAAGGCCCAGCAGTACTTGACAGCTCTTGCTCTGGGAAGACTGCTGACCCTCCCTTGGCCACCCCTACACTGACTGGAGCAGGTAGGATCCTTCACCGTGGAGGAGGTGATGAAGACAAATCACTGGCCTGTAGGAGAATGGTAACCTCTTGATTGGATGCAGGACTTGAGGGATGGAGAAAGGCAGAGTGAAATAAGCCCTCACAGCAGTGTCTCACGTATTACCTCCTTTGTAGGTGTCTTGCCAACAGAAGAAGCACAGGAAGAGAAAGCTGACAACTCCTATTTTGCTTCTAAGGTAGACCCTTTCCCTCTGCTGCTGCTTCCACCACACACTCGTAAATGGGACCTTGACGTGCCGGTGCCGCAGGGAAGCTCTTCAGTTAGGACTGGGAGCAACTGAGGCCAGGCTAATGACCCGGGTCTCCCAGCAGCTGGCCTTTCAGCTGGATTTCTCGTATAGCATTGAAGCAGCAAAGCTTCCTGCCAGTTACAGTCCTCCGAAATCCTAGAAGGCTGCTGCTGTGGGGATTGCTTGTTTTCCACCACACAGCTCTCTGCTCCCGAGCCAGTCAGTGTCAAATGGTTGCCCCTAGGGCCTACCC